ATGAGCGACGTGAACCAACAATGCCACCAATGTGAATGTACGCAGTGCCAAAATGCAAGATGAAGATAACCACTACATCAGGTATCCGTATCTAACAACTTGCAACCGTGCCAATCGGAGGTGTCAATCCGCTTCCGCATGAAGGTCTCCCGATGCTATGTCGATGGTTGGGACTGTTTGACCATACTTCACCACACTGGTGAGTGGAAATTGTTTGTGACGTGTTATTCAAACCTCAGAGCTGCAATTTGTCCAAATAAAAAAAAAACTTATTCCAGATTATATTTCTGCGCAATCAATGAGTGACCAGGTTGAGACCATCACATCGCTACACTTGAGAACCCAGACTTATTGACGGTCGGCTGAAGCTCGGATATTTAAAACCCAGACCCTCAGCATTGGCGCCCCTCGATTCTCTGACATGGCATTACATTTCTGAGCCATCCATCGACCCCAAAGACCCGAATGCAACAAAATAACAAAGCCTACAATGAGCCTCGTTCCCATATGCATCTCTCCACGTAAAAAAAACCCCAACCTGGGTGCTACGTCACTTTGCTGTTGGTGTTTATATCGCTGCTGCCGCAATCACATGCCTCTGCTGCGCGACCGCCCTTACCCGCACTCCCAGGAATTCGAACAAATGCCAGTGATGCGAAGAACGAGCGATTTGTGAACACGAGACGAGCAAAAGCTTTCGTGACTGCAGGGATTCATCTTCTTGGTTCTTTCGGTAAAGTCACGTAGAAGGGAAATAATAAAATAATAAAAATAAAACATAATAAAATACAATTCTCATGACGTTTCGGTCACAAATCAAGCAGCCGTCCTCAGGTGAAGAACAGGTCATTCAGACTGTCTTTCCGACAGTGTCTGAATGACGGGGGGACGTTCACACGACGAACTTTGCGCACGGCGTATATCATCAAGGCTAGCGGCTGCGCACGTTCCTCGCTGGGCTTGTCGCCCGCTGTCTTTAGATACTTTTATTTAACCTGCCCTGTTGTCCGTTTATATTTGTTCAAAGCTTTGCCGCTTCATATACATTGGGATCTGCGAAGCCGAACGAGCTGACATCTTGTACGCAGACGCGTCCCGCGTGACACTTGGAGATCGCTAAACTCGATGCGACAAAATAAACCCAAATCATTCTTCAGAAGTGACTTGCCAGAACACTCGCATGGGGCGATCTCTGTAAGCTGCGCCCACCAATGTACCCACGTCACGGGGTTATACTGAGATCGTGTGAAACGAGCACAGTAATGGGACAACTCGTGGCTCGCAATCTGCAGGCTCCAATTCGCAAGTCGAATGCACCGAGGCATGGTGATGATGACGGACGTTGTACCAACATGATGGCTGCAAGTCGAGTCCAAAGCGATCGTGGGGAAAGTGAATGTGTTTACGTGTGACTGACGCGACTATTAAAATGCCGTCCATAAATGACGTCACGCGATTTTGAACGATTTTTGACCCCCCCCCCCTTCGTCACACGGCGTCACAAAAAGTCAGACCCCCCCTCAAATATGACGTCACAAAGCTCTGCCCCCCCCCCCCCAAAAAAAAAATAAAACATGCTTCAAATCGCTTTAAACTATTGTCATTGTAGTGCGTATTTAATGTGCCGCTGCACTCTGATGTTGTCGGAGAAAACATTTATTTAAAAGTCTATTTAATTAAGTAGAACGTGTTGTCTATATTTATTTAAAGTTGCACATTTTGATGTGACGTCACATTTCACAACCTCCCCTCGTCACACATCGTCACAAATGTCTGACCCCCCCCCCCCTAGGTGCGTGACGTCATTTATGGACGGCCCCTAATCCAGGCGACACGGCGTTCCCCACACTCCATGAGCGTGGTGCAAGGCTCTCTGACTTTAAAAATCTAGACTGGAAACTCATTTCTTTAGAACTGCTTTTTGTGTTTAGTTTATTGTGTTTCCCGCACACGTACGATTATCGCGGTTGGCTACGTACGGTGCGAAAGAAGTTCAGCATACATGTCGCTGGCCCGCCTTGTGGAGACGCGGACTGGTCTCCGGCACGGGAATGTGGAATTAGAAGTTCCGCTACCGACTCAAGAGTGGACAATTGAGACAACATTCCCCACCCCCTCATGTGCTCTTTGAGCAGAGATCACGTGACTGTTTTTGTAAGATACCCCGCTGTTTGTAATTTTTTTAGTCGCAATACGCGCATAGCCGAGCACACACGAAGCACACACACACACACAGCGTGGGCTGCTTGCTGTCTGTGGTCTCACTGTGCCTCGTGTGCGAGTGAGTCATCATGGTGTAGGGAAATCGTCGAAAATGCGGCCCATCCACATTCTTGATTTGGCCAGGCAGAGTTCTAACAATATATATTTCAAGCGCAGTCAACAACGCGTACGTAGATAACGCCCTCGATTAGAATGGACTTTATTTCTCCGGGAGAAAAAAAAAACACTTAATCGAGTCTCAAGGCTCCTCCTCCATTTGGAGATATTTGGCCTCTTCCACGAATGAGCGCGTCGCCATGCGGAGAGGAACTTGGAAGAAACTCACAAATGCAAGCGGGGCAATTACTCAAACCTCCGCACAGCTAGATTCAAGAATCCCTTCCTCTACTGCCGTCCGCGAGACATTTCTCACCCCGAGCCTGCAAAAAAACCTCGATTTTCCCAGGCAGTCTCTCATCCAAGTGCTCACCAGGCTCGAGCCTGGTTTATTCTTCGAGATGCAGCAAGATCGGACAGGTCACGTCTGACAAAGAGCTATATAGCTCAGTCGGCCTTACCTGGTAAAATAAAAAAACACAATTTAGTATTAGTTTATGTAGTTTTCCAGCAGCATTTGTTTCAAAGCAGACACATCCCTGCATCGGACTTTGTATCTCGGATAGCCCTTTTCCACTGTGCAACCGAGCCGCGACAGGGCCGTGCCGAGCTGGCTTGGCGCTGCCAGGTTGTTGTTTTTTTTTCCACTGCTCAAGCCGAGCCGTGCCACCGATGTCAAATGTCCCGAGTCGAGACGCGCGTGTCGATGACGCGTTGGTGCTGCGTCTTCAACAGCGTTCGCAAACTGACGTCACACACAATTAATGGCGTCAGTCGTGAGACCACGCCCAATGTGGCCCTGCTTGGCCCGGAGGTAGATTCGGACATCTTCTCGTGTTTAGTTTCTGGCTCGATTTGACAAATTGGCAGTGGAATACCACCCGCAGAGTGACGTCGCTCTTCCGACTCGGCTCGGACAAGGGCTGCGAGGGCTACGAACAGGATTGGGCTGGTTTTTTAAAACAAATGTTGGTCTCGGTGACAACAATGAAAGTTGACAAACTAACAGGAGATTTCACATTGTTGCTCACATTCCTCAAGGCCTGCATCAACACACACATAAAAACAACTCAAGAACACAATCTGCGTTGTATTTAATGGAAAGGAAATGCGTGCGTGGGGGTGGCACTCACCTTTGTAGGAACGCATCTACTACCGCGTTAAACGAGGCATTGCTGTATCGACTTCACACAAAGTGCGACTCGTTTTTACGAGCACGTTGGGGGAAGTGGGCCTAGTCGACCCTCATCCGTGATTTGCTTTTTGTTGTTGTGTGCAGTGACTGGGCTGAGATAATGGAGTCACCACAAATGAGAACATTCTTTACTCGCAGTTGGCAGAAACGTGGCATACGGAACCCTGGGTCTCAGTGGTGCCAGCTCAGGGTCTGTGTTGTCAGGGTCTGAGACCCGAGGGTCTCTGGTGCCAGCTCTTCCCACTGACCTCTGAGCTATGCAGAAACCACCGCCTCTCTTCTTACAGATGTCAAAATCAGAATCATAAGATGTATTATACTGGAGGAATCTGATGAGCTATAAAGCTCTTTCAGATTGCTTGGGCTTCACAAAGACGTCTGTCTGGATGAAATTGAATGCGCACCGTGTGGACGTTGTATGACAACCTAGAGCCGACTTAAAGGGTTGTTTCTTTAAAAGACTTTAACTGGACATTCCTCGATAACACGGTGTCATCAGAAGAGAAAATATAAATTAGAAAAGTTTCAGGAACTGGTCCGCTCCACACGAGGGGATAGAGCTCACAGGTTCACACAGATGGCTTCGTTACGCAGTTTTCTGTATGACCATCTTGTGGTCAAAACATTACCAAGTTGCGGCGCGTATACAATTCTCTGGCGCGTGTCGTGACCGGTACTGCAAGATCCGACCAGGTCTGTCGAGTGCTCGCCGAGCTGCGTTGGCTTTACGGTTGCTGAACGAATACATTGAGGCCGCACTCGTTAAACAAAGTTCTTGCCACAAATAAACCACAATACCTTGCGGATCAAGGAGCATAAACCCATCACGCGGCTTTTCACTGGCCAGCGAACAATGACGGTTCACTGCAACGCACGCTTTCAGATGCGCTTCTGCGGCCGTCTGGAACGCTCTTCCTTCCGATATGAGAAAGCCACTGGAGCTATGCACTTTTAAATCTACCTAGAAAACGAATTTCTTCAGAACTGCTTTTTTTGTGCCAGAGGGCCAAATAAGGCTCTGGATTACTTTTGGCAGAGCCACACATAAATACACACACACACACACGCACCTTGGAGTTCTCCAATGGCACGTAAAACAACCTGCATGTTGACCGAGTATTAAGAGGCCCTTATACAACCAGGCGATGACTCGAGCGTGCAAACATGAGAAACGGTCTTGTGTTCCCAGGTCAAATAAAACCCCAATTAGTGGGTACGAGAGTGGACCCATGGCCTCGGGCGGCGATGGGTTCCAGGTGTGAAATCTGGCGCAGGTTCGCAACTCTACTCGAGGCCATTGCCGCACAGAGAGCCTAAAGAGTTGCTCTCCTGGTAAATGTGGCCAAACGCTGGTGACAATCGTTTAGGGTTTAGAAAAAAAAAAAATCGGTCCTCGTTCGAACAACCTCGGTAAACAGCCACCCCTAGCCTCCCACAACCTCGACAAAAGGTTCCGATTAAAACGCAACTGCCGTTAACAGCCCAGTTCAAAATACAGAACATTTATTGAGATATATATATATACGTATTATTATAATCAGTGTACATAATGCTTACAAATATAGAAATCGCACGACTGTTAAAAAAAACGACCCAAAATAATCCCGGACTGACAAATGTGCACGAGAGGTGTCGAGATGCACGACGACCTTCACGACTCCCCCTGCCAGTTTCAGGGAAGGTGTCGAAGGCGATGAGGCCACCCACCCACCCAGTTCAACTTTGCCAACGTTGGTTGGGACGGTTGACCCAATGGGCCAACACACCGTGGGGCCCAACACGCTGCACCGGGCAATCAGCCGCCTTCGGAGACTTCGCGACAACCACGATGCTGGCAGGGCCTTCAGCTCTGGGAGACGAACTGTGACCGACCACTCAACCTGCACCAGTCCAATTTTCCCAGTTCGATTGACGCTGCGTGGACCGATTCGCGTGGACGGATTCGCCCCCATGGTTTGTTTCGGTCAAGTTTAAAATATTTTTCATCTCGCCGGACGACAAAACACGCACCACAACGCCAAGAGGTGAAAACACAACCGAATTTATCCGCAATGTCATTATTACGCCTCCGACACCCCCCCAAATCATAAATCAGTCTACTTCGATTTACCTGAATATTTTACGATTACAACGGTACTTACTTTGTTGGACTAAATTGTAGGTATGAAGATTACACACAGACAAGAAAAAAGGGACTACTCTACAAATATCATCACCATATAATATACGTTACACAAAACACGGTGTAATTGCGGTTGCAAACCACTTCAAGAAGAACAAAAAAAATAACGCCACCCAAAGAACCCGAACTGGCTCGTGTCTCGCCGCAGCGCCGCATGATCTGGATCGTCAACCCCCACGCACGCAAGACTCTGAAGCTTCGAGAGCGGAAAGGACCAAAACAAAATAGACTTTCAGGTGGCACCAAAACATTGCGAGCGCCACAAACGGTTCCGGCGTTTCTCAGCGCAGCGGACGCCAAATCGCCAGGGCGCTGCGGGCGGCGATCGCGAAAGGAGACTTCGAAGCCTTTTTTAAATCCTTGATATTAAGTTCACTTGCGTGCTTGCTTGCTTACGACCGTGCAAACCTTTCGGTCGTTTTGTAATCCCACTTCCCGTGATCCAATTGAGCTGACATTTTGCACACAGACTCGTTGTGCGAGACAATTAATGTTCGTGAAATTTTTTTTCAAAAATTTTACACTGTTTAGGGAAAACAAATTAAATATTTAATTACCAATTGTTTAATACTGCAGACAATCATGTGACCCATAGGTGGCAGCCATCTCAATCCAGAGGACGAGAGGACTCTAGCCGCCACACATATAAAGGATTTAGAGTGAAAAACTTTGTTTTTACGGGTTATACTTATTTATTTTTAATCTCCCCCTCTCTTTAATGAAGCTTTAAAAAAAAAAAGACACGTCAGGTCAGACATCCGTGGCTCCGGGCACACGCGGAGCACGTATAGCGACAAGGTAACAGCCGTCCGTCTGAACGCTGGGTCGCGTCCACGTCGAGGAGGTATGTACACGCAAGAGACAGAGAGAGACACAGAGAGAGAGACAGAGAGAGAGAGACATAACGGGAGCTGCGGCGCCGCTGTGCTCTGATTTGGGCGGCACGGTTTCACGATGGCAAAATCGGAGTCAATCACTTAATCCCTCAAAAAAAATAATCATTGGGTTTAAAAACAAGGCAGACCCAGACCCAGCCCCACCCCCTACACCCCCACGAGGTTCGGTGGTCTTCTTCTCGATGATCGCGAAAACGAAAAACTGCAGACGACCGTTCTTTGGCACGATGTAAACGAGCTGCGGTGGACACAAGAACAAACAAAAACAGTCGACGGTCACGCGCGCCGACGTTGGCATGTGGTTGGAACCGTTGCTGGCTAGAGACCCACACCGCCACCTCCCCCGAGCTCCGACAGTGATAACTGGGCACACGTTTCTTGCAAACCGATGTCCATAACGCGACCGTTACAAAGGTGTTTTACATCCTTTGCGAGTGGCTTGCGAATTGACATTCGGATGGCGTGCCATCACACGATGGGCTACAACACATCGGCAACAACTGCAGCGCTTCGCAGTGCAGCGACATCATCGGAGTGCCGGTCGATGGAAGGAATTGGAAATTCAGCTGCATGAAAAACCGCTTCCTCACCCCGCCAGTCCTCGCCCTCTCTTGATGGGTTTCTTGCGCCTACTGAAGCCGATTGCGACTCGTGGAAACTTTAGATTCTGGATGACGAAGCTCCCATAAATTGGAGTTAAATAAAATAATTTGGTGTGACGAATAGTTGTAATGAGTATACAAAAGGCGACCGTGCCTATGTGGGGGTTATAATGCGATGTGTTGGGTACGTTATGGGAACGGGCTCAAACAGCTGGACATACAAAGAGCTCTCCGATGCGTCCTCAGGTCGCGCCGTGCATCATTGGGCACGGTGTCCGACGTTTCGAGCCCACGTGCTCGGAGCTTCTTCATGGGACCGAATTGTCGGACATCGTGTCGAACAACCTAAAAAACGCATCGGAGAGCTATAACGGCACAACCGCAAAAACACTACCTCCCGTAGCTGTACATATCCTTTATTAAAAACGCCGCCGACGTATCAGTACAAGTGTTCTCACCATACCACCGCCCAGTAAACATGGAACGTTGGCCCAACGTTGCACGTTCACCAGGTGGATGTTATGCCGCTCGCCATTAAAACAACAGCGGAGACGCACAACCAACAGACACGATCTGGAAAGACGGTGCTTTCAAAACTAATTACTGCGATATCCACAGGGTGGGTCAGGGTGAGTGGCTCGGGTGAGTGGGTTGGGCGAGTGGGTCAGGTCACGATGAGTGTGCCAGGCACGTGGGAAGGCTGTCGGTTGCAAGAGGGTTGTTGAGCCGGTGGTGCAGGAGGTTCCCTCCGTGGCGGTTGAGCTGGTGTCCTTTATGCGACCGTGTACAGGTACATGGCTCCAGCGAGAACGAAGAACTGCAGACATGTCACGGCACCGCGCACGCAAGCCACGATGACACGCACACCACGTGAGACACACACGCACACCACAATGAGACACGCACACACAAGCCACGTTAACAGCAAATCATTACAGCAATATAATAACAAATACAAATCACGAGCAAGGACACTTTTTTGTTGTCTTGCCAATTCAATTATTGAGCATTCTTAATGCTGCTGCTGCTACTGCTGCTGCAGCTGGCGACTTATACCGTTGAAGGATGATAACAATGGTGAAAAACAATGATGATACGATGCATTTGGTGATAATGCCAACGACGGTGGTGGTGGTGGTGGTGACAACAATCACGACGACGGCGTTTGAGCGACGCAGCATCCAGTACGTACCGTGAAGCAGAGGATGGCGAATCCGAACCAGGCGACGCCCCACGTGTAGCGATTCACGGCCGCGCTGAAGTAATCGAAGCAGCCCTGTGGGATGCAGTCGCCGCCGTTATTACCTCGGGTGAACAACGAGAGACTTCGTGGGGTGGTCGCTAGCCCAACCACCCCCCCACCAAACATCATTTACCAGCGAGAGAGCTTCAGAGTATCCCAGAGGTTTTTTTGGAAATGTTTGCGGGTTGCGGCTCGACAGCTGGTCGCGGAAGTTGCCCGGCAACATGGAGGGGGAAACGTTGGGACGCAGTGCCAGACACCGCACTCGCGCGGTACGACCCCAAATTGCATCGCAGCGAGGGAGCACCAAGGTTGTCGCTGGCGCAGGGCACGTGGACCGACAAACGCCATCACACCGGTTCACGGATCGCACCAAGCCATCACGCGCGCTCTGCGACTGGCGGACCGCTCACAACTTCAGGGGAGGTCTCGCCGTACGGGCTGAAAGAAACCAGCTTGTATTGAAAACTAATTTCTTTAAAACTGCCTTCTGTTGTTTAGTGGTGTGGGCCTCTCCCCGCACCTCTGATTAGCACGCTTGGCTACGTATGGTGTGGAAGACGCTCAACATATCAGTTTAACAGGTAGGCTTTCGTGACCAATATTATCCACAAGGGATGTCGGTTGTTGTGGGTTTACCCTCCAACTCACCGATGTGCGCCGAACAAGTAACTAATTTGCATGTTTTATTTACGTGACGGACCTTACCAATTGGCTGTCGGGAGGTGGCGGGTTTTTCAAGACGTAAAAATGTACGCGATCCAACCTAAAAAAGTGCATTGTTGTGAAGTTCCACATACATATGAAAGATAATTCGGGTAAATAGGTTTAAGGGGTTAGGCAGCTAAACTCCATCCGCACTGCACAGCCCCCGCACCCCCTGCACCGACCACGAAAAGCACTCCGAGCGACACGACCGTGACAGAGCGCCACAGCGGCTCGGAGATGTTAACTACCTCGCCTGGTATACAGGTCGTCGTGGGTCACGATCCCGACCCTGACGCCTCGCTGTACATTTGGAGTTTTCATGTCTCTTTCGCCCCTTACCGGGTAAAAATAAAAAAATTGTTTATCACTCGTCCCAGCGCGAGCGACGCGATGGCCACCGAGTGTCCGTCCTCACCGCGGTGTTCACGTATCCGTCCATGCCGAGGCGGCAGTAGGTGATGTTCAGCGGCGGACCGTCCTTGCTCAGCACGCAGCAGTGCATGGGCCACGGGAAGTTGACGTCGTCGTTGTTGTGAGCTTCGGAAAACTTGGAGGTGTACGTGAGCCAGTCCGTGGGACCGTTGGAGCCGCAACACTTTTGCTGTGTTCGGCACACGGACGTTCAGGGGTGCCGCACAGATGGAAAAAAGGATGAGTGGACAGACACAGAACTCGATGGATATACAGTTGTATGGATTTGACAGCTAAACGAACGAAACCAAAAAAAACACACACGCACACACACAATGCAACCCGGCATTGGCCAAACATCGCTACGTTGAAAGACTACGCCGCAAATTACTCAATTGGGATTACACACGGCAGCAATTTGACTATGGCCCCACCACCCCCCCCCCCTTCTCCCCCCACTCCAAAAACAAAACTTGGCAGACACCATGTGAAAAAAAAACTTCTTGAGACCCGGTGGCTTTCCGGAGTAAACAAGCAAAGAACTAAAATAATAAGAAAAAAAACGACATTAAGTCATGGGACAGAGAGATGAGTTATATTATTCACCCTTCCCCTCGTGCTATGACAGTATGTGGATATCGAGTGACTTGCAGAGATTTGGGAGGCGTTACCACAGTGGGTTTGCAGATCAGCGCGACCTTTCGTACACAGCGCAGGCGTCAAAGCACAATGCTTGAGCTTAAAAAAAAATTCAACTGCACTTAAACTATTTTTATTTACCAGGCAACACCCACCCGGCTACGTAGCTCTTTTTTAGAAGCGACCCGGCCACGAACGATCGCTCATCACAGAGTGGCTCATCACGTGGACGTTTGAGCGGCCAAATACTCTGAACGCACGCCGACCGATTCTAAGTGTGGAGGGACAAAAATCTGAGGACCCGGAGAAAAATGCACGCGACCACGGGGAGAACGTGCAAACTCCATATATACAGGCGTCAGGGTTGGGATCGAACCCACGGCACCCTGTATACCAGGCGAGATAGTTAACATCTCGCCACCGTAGCACCCATATACAACAGGATGCGTAACATTTTTTACACTTATATGGGACTTTCGTTTTGAATGGAAAAATAATGTATAATACACCGCAACATGATAACAAATGTATGTTAATAGCGTCAAAAAGTCAAAGAGTCTCCACTAGTTCGCCATCGTTATCAACGCTTGCCTGGAATCTTCTCCAAGTGGTCTCCAAAGCCCGGAAAGTGGTGTTGTTGAAAATTCTCCCAAGTGTTAACATTATTTTGAAGCACCATGTATATGTGTAATGACAGAGTAACACCTGCCGGCCTGTAGGGGTAAGTACGGTTATGGCTGCATGACGTAATGCCTTATCATACGGGGGCGTATCTGGGGTAAAGGCGGAGTCAATCGAAAAGCTCCGGGAACCATCCCGAAGGGTCTAGAAGGTTCTGTAAAGGAGGCGTGGCCAGAGGTGGAGCTTGGCCACGCCCGGCAGATATAAGGGGGACCGAACCAGAGGTTCGCGGCTGTTCTGCGGGTCCTGGCTGCGAACAGCTAGCGTAGTGTATGACGGAGATGAGCTGCGTGTTAGGATCCCCCATGTGTAGCTGCGTTACGAAGTGTATCGCCGCGTGTGCTCTTAATAAATAAGAAGCCCTCTACTAGACGCGTGTCGGAAGCCACTCACTACATATGTATGGTTCGCCGCGACACCTCGCAACTCTTTGGACGCATCCCGCCCCTACTCGCAAAGCCGCTGCAGTGTCGCGATCGACAATCGGAAAGCCCCAAATCTTTAGAATCGTTGACACGTTGTCAAAATTGGGGCAGACATCTTCTCGCCGACCTGACCAGGGGCCTCGTGGTCTCCATCAAGTCACCAATAATAATAATAATAGTTGTAGTCGAGTATATTTGATATTTGCGCCGTTCATACAGCAGAGAGACTATCACGAAATGTGACTTTACCGTCCTCTAGATAATTATTTTTGTATTTTTAAATGATCTGGCCATCAACGAGACTCCGGACGAGGCCGCAACGTCGTCACCAATCGACCCGACGGAAGAGCCTGGCCATCGAAGCGATCCAGTGGATGTATCTCTCCACCCCCCCCCCGCCCAGTCTTCACCACAGCACCGTGACCACGCGTACGGCATGGCCGTGGCTCACCTCTCGCATGAACATGTTCCACGTTTCCGTGTAGGCTGGGTAGGTGTCGCTCGGATACTCCGTCAGCATTTGCTTCAGCAGGAAGTTTGGGTCGCCCACCAGCTGTGGGGGGGTGGGGGCAGCGTGGGTGGACGAGGGAGGGAGGGGAGCAAGCAACATGGAATTAAAAGGATGGTGGCTCGCACGGATGAGAGGGTACGACACCTCCCCCCCCATTCTCCGCACCGCGTACGTCGCTGCGCTATTTAGGAGGCGGGTAATGTGTGAACGCACCACTCCAAACATTTCATAGCTCAGTTCGGAAAATAATATTGTAAAAAACCAGGAAAACTCCACCCCCCCCCACCCCGCCAAAATCACACGCTCGTGGGGTCTAACAATGTAGCTGGAGCATCTCGGCATGGTCGGCTACGTACGGTGCGAAATAAGTTCTACGTACATAAGAAACAAAAGCTTTTGGTTCCCATTTGTGAATAACCCCACCCTTGCTGCTGGCATCATCAACTTCACTATGAAGTGCCTACGGAAGGGGATGATACCAGCCCCGCCCTCTCTCGTGGCCAGCACCACACCGGGCTGCCTTTGTCTCCCCAGTGCCGAATGTTTAAACACACTGCACCAGGCATTTATTCGAGGTGAAGCCGATCTAAAGGGGAGAGGCCCAGGAAGGGTGTGGAAATATAGATCCATCACCGATGTTGGCCACAAGTGGGAATCGAACCCGGGTCGCTGGGTGCGCTGCACAGTGCGCGAACCACTACATTGCCACTCCTCCACACACACACGCGGAGGACACTCACGTAGTCTCGTTGCGTGAACGAGGTAATGCAGGACGCCGACTCGAACGCGAAGACCACGAGCATGCACACGATGTACTGCAGGCACGGGGGGACACAGACGCACACCCAGGTGAGACGGACACACATACGCACACCCAGGTGAGACGGACACACCAGGTGAGCACAGGTCCTTGCGTAGGCAGGTGAGCGGCTATTGTCTGGGCGAGGAGAAAGTCGTTGGGCTGGCAGGGTGGCCCAAAAATCAGGGTACATGGGGTTATTTTAAATGTTTTAACAAATGTTCAAACTAACTTCCACTTATATTAATGCGGGCAAGAATTCTCTTTTGAAATGAATTTAGTGCGTTTTTAAAGCTCACAGGTGTGATTTTTGAACATTCATCAATTGTGGTTTTAGGTCTCAATTCATCCAATGGCTCTTGCTCGAGTTTTCTAAGCGACAGATTTGAGGTGACCCCACAGGAAGGAGAAAAATAGATGTGAATTACGACAATCGATAAAGTATTAACTTTAACAAACAACATTTTTATCTAGATTTGAAGTTTTCGTGCCTGCAGGGATCCATACTCTTTGGTTGTTTCAGTAAAGTCACGTAGGTATAAAATAAAATAAAAATTAATCACGACGTTTCGGGTGCGACACAAGCGTCCGTCATCAGGTGGGACAACCACAGGAAGAAACAATTGCTGAAGTGGGCAAAAGGGCTGCTGTAACAAGAGGCTATATAGGTAAGAGAGGGGGGAGGAGCCAGGGAGGAGAAAGAGAGAGGGTGGGGGTGTGGGATAGGGGGAGTGGGGTTCTGCAAGCTCCGACACGAGCACGACAAAATGCCGGTGCTAGGAGGCTGAAGAAATTGGAGATGCGGATTTCTTAACATTTTTAGGGTAGTAACATCAGCAAAGACGAGTGCTTTGAACTCGCAAAATTGAAAAAGAGGGATGACAGTCATCCTTTCGGCCGACAAGGGCAATGCTACTGTCATCATGGAAAAAACCACATACAACAACAAAATCCAGGACCTTCTTAATGATGGCAGCTACACAGTCTGACTACAAAACCCAATAATATCATTACCAGTTTGACTTCTCTTATCAAACCAGTCAAACGGCTCTCCCTAAAACCTTCTGCTGCTAGACCACCCAGATTCTATGGTCTTCCTAAGATCCATAAAGAAGCCACTACACACCTCGGCCCATCGTTTCCACCATCAACTCACCTACCTACAAACTGGCCCGTTTTCTGTCTGATACCTTGCTTCCATTCACTGGCAAGAACACCTCAGCAGTACATAACTCAGCTCAATTGGTCTCTCTAATCAAGGGCATTTCACTGTCCCCCAGATGATTTTCTCGTCAGCTTTGATGTTGTTTCTCTGTTCAAACAAAATGAAGGTACCCCCATGGGTTCCCCCTTACCACCAGTGATAGCGAATGTTTTCATGGCCATCAACGAGACTCCGGGATGTTGGCTACCAACAACAAGGCAACTCCTATGACTAATTGGGAATGGGACGCAAGCGTAGGATTGATCACCCTGTCGCTGGCCGCCTTTGGGGAGGGTGTATAGTATGAAAGGCCGAAACACCCTAGGACCCAAAGGTTCACTACTGACGATGCGCTCCCCAAATTTCACCAGGCTCACTGTTCATGAACTCTTGGAAGTGCTTGCACAAAGGATAATAACATCTCATCCTGTGTTCTTTGGAATCTGAATATGGAGAAATTTGAAACGGATGCCATCCAGACATCCACCCTACGTCCTTCCTTGTGGAAGAGATATGTGGATGACACTTTCGTCATTTGGCCACATGGCCTGCCAGCACTGAACCAATTTCTCACCCACATTTATTCCATACACCAATCCATCAAATTCACTATGGAAGTGGAGAAGGATGGTAAGCTACCATTCCTGGATGTTTGTTTGAGAAGAGACCTGATGGCTCTTTGGGACACTGTCTACAGGAAAGCCACCCACACAGGTTCTGATCTGAAACCTGATTCCCACCACCATCCGGCACAGAAGAATTCCCTCATCAAAACACTACACCATAGGGCCCACTGCATTTCTGACCAACACCACCGAGCCAGTGAACTGGAACACATACACCAGGCCCTTAAGATGAATGGATATTCGGACCACATTATCCACCAAGCTGTTTCTCAAACCATGGAAAAACAACCCCCTGAGACGCCGATCAAAACCATCACGTTACCATACATAGCAGGCGTTACCAAAAAGATTTCCAAAATCTTAAACAAACACAAGATCTAGATCCAATTCAGTACAGTACACAAAAATCCGTGATCTAATCTCATCTGTGAAGGATGTCATTCCTGACATGGAGTCTACAAATTAAGTTGCACCTGTGGTGATTGTTACATTGGGGAAACGACATGTCTTGGACCGTGTTTGCGAACACAAGTCAGATCTGAAGCATGGCAGAACTAATACCTCCGCCGTAGCTGACCATTTCTATAACGCTGATAGTTTTTTTCGAAACCCAGGTGCTCTGCAAATCTTCAGGCTACTATCAAAGGTTTGTTCATGAGGCCATCCAGATATATAAACAGACATAACTTCAACCACGAAGATGGATACAAATTGAGCAATCATTGGAAGGATGTTATTAACAAGGTGAAACCTTCACTGCTTTATAGTTTGCCTTCATATCTGCATCTCCAGTTTCTTCAGCCTCCTACCCCCCCAGCCCCGCTTACTACTTCCCAGCCCCTGCTTTGTCATGCTCGTGTCGGAGCTTGCAGCACTCCACTTCCCCTACCCCACAACCCCCCACCCTCTCTCTCCTCCCTGGCTCCTCCCCCATCTCTGACCTATATAGCCTCTTGTTACAAGCAATTGTTTCTTGCTGTGGTTGTCCCACCTGATGACGAATGCTTGTGTTGCGCCTGAAACGTCGTGATTTAAAATTAAAATGTTTTAATCCCAGCGTTTAAATAAATTAAATAATACCCTAATGCATCCTTCAGTTTGGGGCCACACTGCATAATAATCAACGTCGGTTCTCTCCCAGTGCACAGTTCTCTTTGGCGACCGGAGAAAATCCTTCTCGGGAGCGAGCGATGGGACCCCAACGCGCGAGCGATGGGGCCCCAACGCGCGAGCGAGCCGTACCCCAAGCAGGAGCTTCCGTGCCATGCGCAGCGCGGCGATGATCCCCACGAAGCCCAGCAGGAAGAACGCCATGCCCGTGAAGATGGCGATCCACGCGCCGGCGAAGACGTCGTCGTTGTGCGCCATGCCGAGGATGGGGTACACCTTATAGCCATCGGTCACCACCCAGATGGTCACGGCGGTCAGCGTGATGCCACACAGCTGGGGCGGTGGGGGAGAGGCAACATGGAGGGAAATAAGAGCGAGGCAAACAGAATCAGAACCAGAATGTTTATTTATACTGGTTGAATCTGACGAGCTATAAAGCTTTTTTTCAGAGATGTCCAGTTGAGCCTCCCAGTTTCTCGAGGAGGCTCAACTGGGGACACACGGGGGAGATGGCAGCCACACCCACTCTTGCGTCGCCATCGCCCACGCACTCGCGAGCACCGTCCCCACGCGGCGACACGGCGAGTGACCGTGACACCTCCTCGCCCTGTCCGACTCGTTCCTCATTGCGACCGCGCCGAGACCAGCAACCTCGCTGACTGCGCTTGAGAACGGGTCAACTATATTTTGTATTTTTAAAACGATGTTGTTTTTCTTCCCTCCAATTGCTACCAGAGTCGTGTCACTAAATTCATACATTTATTCATCTTCAATACAGCTTACAGAGGGGCGTAATTTAAAGCCAGGGACGGTGCAGGTCGGCAAACTGGAATTAATTTCCGCGCCATGCACACCACGTCCAATATACCCTCTTGCGATGGATATTGTTACTCTTCGCATGCTTATTCCAGTCGACAAGCGAACCGGAAAACATCGAGTGAGAAATAGTCCTGGCCCAAACAAAACCCATGCCCAACCATAACAATGAAAAAGGATTTGTTGAATAATTGACAGCGATTTTTCCTCTTCTTCCAAACATCAAAGCCTTTGGCGGCGCACGTCATAAACTCAAACATTTTCCTGCGACAAGTCTGAGACTTTACAAAACGGACAATACAATTACCGTGAGTCTTGAATCACATGCTAAATATAGTAATAGCGCTGTGTCATGGTCAGAGTGCTCATAGAACATTATTTAAGAGCCACAGAGTTGCAGCGTTTGGTATTTAAGGACAGACCGGTCGGACGACTAACTTTGCTCTCCAATTCCTCCCCAATGCGTTTACAGCGAGGAAAAAAACGAAGACAACCACGTAATTTTGTTAAAAAGATGTACTGTGATCCAGGGCACGGTTCATAATGGCCATGCCGGAGCACCCAGCTGGGTTCGAATGCAGCCGTGAGCTGCTCGCGATGAAACCGGTGTCGCAAGCGTACCGCACCCGTCTCGGTTCGCTGTTGACGTCATGAAGAGGCCCCCCCCCCCACCCTTTTGTGACTTGTGTGGTTTTGCACTTAAATAAATTTGTTCCAGAATAATAATAAAAAAAGCGCAGTTTGATCGTCACGTAAGGCAACACCTGCAGAGGAGGGCGGCACGCGAGAGACAGCGAGCACACGTGTGAAGAGGCTTAGTGATGTGGACGCGTAATGCCGATTCGGAGTCGATTGAAATGAGAATTCAACCCAGCAATGCATCACAAAAGTGTAAAAAAATGACTGTTAAATCAGGAATATATATTTTTTACAACCAAATTATTATCGGGCCCAATAAAATACTATTTATCCGAGTGAGCTCAAGCTTCCTGTAAATCACGTGACTTCTGTGTGGGGATGACGATGGGTTGGTGTCCTTTTAGAAAGCCAACTTTTATCAGAGGCATTCATCCAGCAGTGGATGGATAATGGCTTTTTAATGATGATGACGAGTTTCCATGCATTTTATTACATTGTAGTCGTCGTAACAAGTCACAACTATTGCAAGGTTGAGAGTTTAAAATTCCGGTTCGGGCGTTGTCGATCCAGCCCACAGTCCCTCGAGGGCAAATAAAATTAGTACCTCTGAAATATCAAGACCTATCTCTTATGGGGCGGCTTGGCCGTGAAAGAGAGGGTTTTGAAAGCTCCACCACCGACTCAGCGCTGTGAAATGGGGAAATGAGCATTGCTGCACCCCTCTTTAGAGACGGAAATTGCTTTTTGACCTTTAAAGGATGAATATCTTGACGTGCCTACCACTGCACACTTCTGTGATCCATTGCTTGAGATTTGTAAAAAGCTCCCCGTACCCTCTGGCACTGTGCAGTCGTCACTGACGGCAGTGCAGCAAGTGGGGTTGTCAGGACCCATGTGTATGGAGCGTTGAGTCTCGTCTGCTTGGGTACATGGTGGGGTTTCTCCACCACGACCTCTGGTTTTCTCCTACATTATGCAACTCTAGAAAATAAAAAAACTGGCCAAACACGGTGACTTCAGCAGAGATTCTCCTGCAAAAATTAAACTCGGTACGGCTTTCCTGGGGGTAAATTACGTCATTATTTATCTTTAACAGAATTTGGCACAAGGAGGGCATTTACGCAGGGACAGCAGCACACAATCTGTACAGAACAAACACTGTAAACTATAAATTTTGATTTAAAGCTTTCGTGACTGCACGGATTCATCTTCTTGGTTCTTTCGGTAAAGTCACGTAGAAGGGAAGTAATAAAATAATAAATAATAAAAACATAATAAAATTATTCTCACGACGTTTCGGCCACAACGCAAGCAGCCGTCCTCAGGTGAAAACCAGGTCCGTCGATGGCGGACCTGGTTTATCCGATGCAGGGGGTTTGTCTGCTTTAAAACATTCTAATGGGAAACTATATAAACTAATAACTAAATTATTTAGTATTTTACCAGGTAAAGCCCACTGAGCAATATAGCTCTTTTTCAGAAGCGACGTGGCTATCAGAGATGCTAGCTCACTCAATTAAGTGGCTCACGTGTGGCAATTTATTGCAGCCAGTTACTATAAACGCATGTGGATTCTAAATGCGCAGGGCAAAACCGGAGGACCCGGAGAAGAATCCACGGGGATAAAGACATGCAAACAACAAATATACAGCAGGCGTCAAGGGTTGGGATCGAACCCACGACCTCCTGTATACCAGGCGAGGGAGTTAACATCTCGCCACACACATCACGTGGAGGGGACTACATGTGGGCCCCATCATCATGGAAGCCGACTGACAGCATAAGAAGACGAATAATATTATTCGTTAAGCAAAATGGAGTTGGGCAAACATCGCAATGTCTAACGACTTGCCTAAAACAATCTGAGAGACTCGGGGAGGCTTCCATGCTTGCGTAATAACCCACAGGTCGGTCCAGATTGTCTTGTGACCCCCCCCCCCTATTTAATTATCTAAAACTTAATAGTATTGTGAAGTAAGGCTCTTTTAAAATGTACATTGCGAGTGAGCAATTGCGTCAATCAATTTGTCATGTCTGTATTTTCTAAATGTGGTTTGTGAAAATCCACATGCTGGTACAAACAGAACCCCCGCCCCCCCACAACAACAACAAAAAACCCAACTCTGGACAGAGCACGGGTGGTTTTTGAGCGCGTCGGCCAACATCTTCAGAGAGCCTTCACACACAAAAAACCCCGTATACGTGAGCTCCACAATTCACGGAATGTCACGTCACCACCAGAGTCAGAACCCCACCCCACAATCAAATGGCACCGCATTTCTCAAGAGATTTTAACACGCGACAAGCGAGAGGGGAGAATCAAAGAATGCCTGGGGGTCATTTTGAACGAGGGTGGGGGGGGGGGGATCAAATGTGGGTTGGGGTGGGGTGGGTGGGTGGGGTGGGGGTGATGGTGGGTGGGTGAGGGTAAAATGCCGCAGCGCTGCAGGGTGCGCGTGAAGGGAGGGGAATGTCGCGGGACCAGTTTGACACGTTTTTACGCAAAAAAACGTCGGAACAAGAGCCGCATTTATATTCAAAAAGTTCGTGCCGGAGACGCGCCCGTACCCGAAAGCCAAACCCACCCCTGCCGCCGTCCCCGAATGGCCATCGACGCCGTGTTAAACATCACGCCGCGAATAGTGTACACGAGAGATATATACTATGGACAGGGGAGACACATTACATGCTCATCTAGTCTTCTACCACAAGGACGACAATAATCATCATCTTGCGCGACGTCTCACGTGGGGAAGCGAGCCCCCTCGTTTATAAACATCAGGCAGTTCATCAACCGGCGTTGGGTTACGCAAGCCTGACTGCTGATGACGTTGGGTTTTTTGTAATTAAACCATTTTTTTTATTTATCAGGTACCACCCATGGAGCTACTCTGTATAGCTATTTTTCAGAAGCGAACTGGCCACAAATGATTGCTCAACCAAGTGGCTGATCACGTGGACATTTATAGCAGCCAAATACTCTGAACGCGTGCTTCTAAATGAACACACCGAATCTTCTTGGTTCTTTCGGTAACTTTATAGCAGCCAAATACTCTATTATTATATTATTTTATTATGTTTTATTTTTATTATTTTATTACTTCCCTTCTACGTGACTTTACCGAAAGAACCAAGAAGATGAATCCCTGCAGTCACGAAAGCTTTAAATCGAAATTGAACACACCGAATGTCGAAGCCAGTCTGGGCACAGAGTTTTTGCTTGGATTGAACCACTGGCTGCTGAAGCTATGTACCCCCAAAAGGCCGTGGGGCCGATGGATGGTATGTAAAAAAAAAGTATATTATGTGTAGGGACAGACAAGTGTATGGAGGCAGTCAGCTTATCTAATTTGGTACTAAAATATCGGCTTGGTTAACTGACATCCGAGAGCCATAGGATGAGCCGTGTCCAAATGCCTAAACTCATTACGCATTGCTGTGGAACAATAGTTTGCAATTCTTACCCATCCCAGGCTACCCATTTGCAAACCGTTTACCAAAATCTACTCGTACAGCAAAATAAAAAAATTATATTTGGATAAATATTACATCACATGCTTGACAGGGATGGCTTAAGAATGGGTGGGTGGGGGCTTCAGCAGTGGATTGAACCTAGTTAATGCGCGGTTAAACTTTTACCTAATTTATAAATTGGTTGCGTTGGCAAATATGCACCAGGCATTACCCATAAAACCCTAGATCTATCTCTAGAGAGGAATTGAATCGCATCTGGGCTCTTACTTGGTTAGAAATTAAGGTCATCTCTAAACTGGCGATTGTAACATTTTTAACATAACCTTAAGATTGCAGTCTGGACACTATCGTAACACTTGCTAACCAAAACAGCACATTACTCATCCACGATGCTGTATTCAGCAAAGGTCGCTTTTTATTTATAGTAAGACGGATGGGTTTTACCCTGATCATTTGCATATTTCTGATTATTATTATTTGCACATACTTGTATAGCCCTTTCAATCAATTCACTGCTGGAGGGGTTCTTTAAACGCAGCGTGGGCGTTGGGTCATTTGATCATCCTCTGGTAAAGACGGGGGAGCACAGCAGTACAGCAACACCTCCATGTGCCAAGTAGATGCGCTCATGAAGCTTTGTTCGTATATTGAAAAACATTCGTACTTTGAAGATATGTTTCCCAGCCTTTGTAACTTATCATTTAATGCTATACACAATTTATAACTTAACATTAATATTGTATACAACGACAAATTCGATTTAAAAAATCCAATTGTTAAACTGTACAGTGTTCAAATTAAAAAAAGGACAAATGAAATAAACATTACGATGAGCAACGCTCCAGAATCCGGAGTACAGCAGATCAACATTTTATTACGTCGCAATTCCAGTGCATTTGTTTGTTTTTTTTGCTGTTTAAAGTAATGATGGCGAATCCAAACTTCCTTATACCGAAACTTTGTTGATCGAATGTACACGTATATATGATGCGTCTGCGCTGCCCTCTGTTGCCCCCAAAGTAGCACTGCATCAGCCTATAGCACCTGTTATTAGCGGTGGTGGAACACTGCATCTCGAGAATATCCCATTTCACCATCTAAAACACTCACTTATAACATCTTTACGTTAAAATAGGCGCTCGAAATGTAATTGGCCATACACACGGTAGTTTCAATCATCGATTTTGATTACCGGAGCGGTGACTTCAGGCGTGCTGGAATTATTTGGCCGCTTAATCAGTCACAGGTGTCACTGGCCAGAGTACTCGACTGGCAATCCACAGGCGTACAAGTTCGATCCCCAGTCAGGGGCGGGTTTACGCTAAAAGCACCATTACTATCACCATCACCCACGATCATCATCATCATCATCGCTATAGCCACACTCGCCATCACCACCCACCCTCGCTATCACCACACCTTCCATCACTATTCACCATCACTGCCACCCTCATCACCATCACTCTTGCGGTCGTGAAAAACAACGATCAATTTGTGGGAACTTTAGCAGTGGATGTTCTATGCAGGATATACATAACGCCTACCATGGCAATGTGGACGTTCCACTTTTAGCTCAGCAATGAGCTCCACCCCACCCCCATTGCCTGATGGAGCAGGCAGATAGTGAGTTTATAATTCAGTTCCTTCACTTGTTTCGACCGATAACGCAACAAAAACATGCTTTGCCGTAGGCGTCACGAGACGAAGCGTCCCATTTGGGAACTGTTGCAGCTCGCCATCAGTGGGCCACCACGGCGTGTCCTTAGGACCCAAGGGAGGTGGCCCAGCCCTCCCCCCATAGGACGACTTCCACATCAAGCCCCTTTAAACGAACTCTTAATCCTCAAAAGGGCACACACCCCCCCACCGCCCCAGGCTCTGTATTTGTTTTTTTTTCTTGTGCAATCAGTGGTATCCAGGCCGTAGTTCATCAACTCGCTCGACTCGACAATCCGGGTTAACAGAACAAAACTAAAATCAACGCAGGCACAAACGTGGAATTTGAATAACCCAACATCTCATCAGAGTACCGCCGACATGGCCATTATGAGAACCTGTACCCCTTGAGCCACATAGGGCCCCACTTGTAACAAAATAAACCGTTGTCCTCCTTACCAAAATAATCACGTTGCCGATGATCACCAGCCACTGAATGCCGCCTGCGTTAGACTCCTTCGCCATGATTCCCCCTGGGAAGGAATGGGCGGCAGCGTTGTTAGGTTCACAAGCTTGGCACCGTTTGCGAGCGCCTATCAAGAGGCTGGCCACGGCGCGCGAACGTTGCTGCTGCCGCGGGACCACGGGACCACGCCCGCCGATGTTTGCGGACGGGCAGCCAGGCACGGGAGATTTCACTTGAAGCGGAGAGATGAAAACCTCGCGGGGAAGGAGGATCAGAGCGTTTCGGATATCACTCGCCACCGATGTTAGCCGTGGCGTGGGAATTGAACTCAGAGGGTTGCGTGATGAAAAACAACGCGCACTCGTACACGAATTCTCATGCAAAGGGACGCAATTACATTGCCAAGACAAAGATCCCCCGTATAGCCTTAACAGACTGTTGGGGCAAGTGCTGTTAGCGAGCACCGATGAAGGCCGGCACGGCACACGAGGGGGTGGGTGGCCAACACCACCCCCGGCCGCCTGTCCCCCCTAGTGACGATGTGTACACACCGCACCAGGTACTAATTTGAGGCCGAGTCGACCTAGGAGAGGCCCAGGACCGGTACAGATAATCGTCACTGGTGTTGGCCGTGAGCGAGAATCGAACCCGGGTCACCAGGTTCGTAGCGCAGCGCACTCATTGCGACACTGCCGCTCCCTTTTTACATTGCACTTACAAACACGCCAACAAATGTACACACAGACACGCATTCACGACAATGAACGCCACCACGCACCACAAATACACGCGTGCACATCTCGCAACGGGCACACGCAATGCAATAATTGTCGAACAGGCGTAAAAGTATTCACAACGCACGCAAATGATCCATCGTCAAAACGAGTTACAAAGTCGCGAACGCATCGAATTGACATTGCAGTAAATCACATCGCCCCAAGCTTCGTAACCGCTCGCGATATTCACCATTGCCTCTGACATTACACGCCTTAGGTTAATCTTCTTGGTTCTTTCGGTAAAGTCACGTAGAAGGGAAGTAATAAAATAATAAAAATAAAACATAATAAAATAAAATAATTCTCGTGAGAATTATTTTATTTTATTATAAAATAATAAAAATAAAACATAATAAAATAAAATAATTCTCTTGTGAGAATTATTTTATTTTATTATAAAATAATAAAAATAAAACATAATAAAATAAAATAATTCTCTTGTGAGAATTATTTTATTTTATTATGTTTTATTTTTATTATTTTATTACTTCCCTTCTACGTGACTTTACCGAAAGAACCAAGAAGATGAATCCCTGCAGTCACGAAAGCTTTAAATCGAAATTTTTTTACGCCTTAGGTTATTCATCGAGTTTTATGGAAACACATTTTAGTCGTAACAACGCGGTTAGAGAGAGAGAGAGAGAGGAGCAGCAGCAGCGGCAGCCACCTTGGTGACGGGATGAAGGTTGGAGAGAAGTTGGCTGCACAGCGAGAAAAAAAAATGCCACACCTGCTGGGCGAAGCGCAGCCGTGGGCCCCTTTATATCCTCGCGTGACGTCACGCAGGTGAGAAAACAGGTGGGGACGGTGAGACGTGAGCGACAAGTGTGCGATCGTCAGCCCCTCCCGTTCCTCTCCACCACCGACAAACCTCCACCATCATCATCGTCATCGCCAGCCATGATCAATCCATTTCCATTTAAAGCTTTTCGTGACTGCAGGGATTCATCTTCTTGGTTCTTTCGGTGAAGTCACGTAGAAAGAAATTAATACAATAATAAAAATAAAACATATTTTATTAATAAAATAATAAAAATAAAACATGTTTTATAATGTTTTATTTTTATTCTTTTATTAATTTCTTTCTACGTGACTTTACGAAAGAACCAAGAAGATGATCAATCCACTTCCCAAAAGCCCGTCGACATCTCTCAGTGACCCTGCGATCAGTGAGATATGGCGAGGTGTTCAACATCCAGCGGTGGATAATAATAAATAAATATTCCGGCAAAACAACTCCTTCCCATGTCCGTCTCGACGTGTAAAAACAAATATATTGTTACACACATCTCGGCACAACTCGGAAGCGTTTCAATCGTATGTCTTGCACTCCGTCATTATTCTTGCCAGTCCACATCTCGCGACTTCTAACCATGGCGTGCCCAGCCGAAGCACTACTCGCTTTATTCACACTTTGAACGACGTCTGCGAGCTTCGTGTGTTCTCAAATCCGTCTGTGTTCATCTTCCTGCATCTCGACGAAATCTCAAGCGTGCGTCTTTTCGCCGTGCTTTGCTGTTGTGTTTTGTTGTTGTTGCAACTTTTCATTTGTCTTCTTGGTTCTTGCGGTAAAGTCACGTAGAAGGGAAGTAAATAAAATAATAAAAATAAAACATAATAAAATAAAAAAAATACGTAAAATATTATGTTATATTTGTATTATTGTATTATTTCCCTTCTACGTGACTTTACCGAAAGAACCAAGAAGATAAATTCTAGATTTGAAGCTTTCGTGACTGCAAGGATTCATACTCTTAGTTCTTTCGGTAAAGTCACGTAGGTAAAAAATGAAATTAAAATTTATTAAAAATAAAACAATAAAATCACGACGTTTCGGAGGCAACACAAGTTTCCGTCATCAAGTGGGACCGTCACAGCCAGATTTGCTGCATCAAGTGAGGCCAAGAAGATTAATCCCTGCAGTCACGAAAGCTTTAAATCGATATTTTCATTTGTCGTTCCATGTTTTCTTGACCGCGGCCATGTTTCTGAACCATAATCTCATGCCAAGTACCGAATGCGACACCACACCCCATAAGGAAATGATGAAACCTCGTTGGGTTTCTACAGGCAAGCCTTCGTCAATCCACTGCTGAATGAATAACTTCACTTTGACGTTGGTTCTATGTCTTGGTAGATGTGGGAGGTTATACTGGTAGGAACGAAGTGGACCAGACCACCAATAGATTAATGTGTCCGTCCGTCCGTCCGTGGGAGGGGTGGTGTTGAGGGTGGTGTTGGAAATGAAAGACTACGAGTCTTTAAATCTCACAGCGTTTCTTGTCAAAACAAACACTTTTAATTAACGTTACACTAGAATACAGTAATTTTTTCTTTAACTCCTCTATACCCGGTCGATATATCTGTACCGGTACTAAGTATTATTCCTACCAGCCCACCCCGCAGGGTCCTGTTTTTCGTAAACGGCGATACAAATTGAGTCCGGAAATTAATATGTATAGTTCCTGAATGCTGTGAATGTATTTTGTTGCTAGCTAATACACTGCAGGAGAACTTCTCTTAAAGTATGCTCTAACTCTTCCTATCATCCGTGATAGTTGTTTAAACCTTGCGTTTAAGAGGAGTAAAAATCGCAAATAACTCCCGCTGATAATAGGATTCGCGACACGTGTCCCCCATATCACAATAGGAGTTCTATATGTGCAACCCTATAGAGTGGTAGGGACGGAGTTTGTCACCCGGGAGCTAAAGTTGTGTGGTATGCTCATGGTGAAATAATTCAGAGATTTTGAGGAATGCACTTTCGTGAAAAACCCGTCTTTGTGAGAGCTCAGCGCGACGAAATCCCTGCGTATCACAATCGTTAACCATGGTCTATGCACTGCTGGATGAAACCCGTACCACCTTCTACGCGGGCCGTGGTCTATCAACTGCTGGATGAATACCCTTCTCATCATCGTTACCAGCCGAGATCGACCCACTACGCCGGATGTAGAAAGACCTCGTCATCGTCATCAGCCATGGTCTATCCACAACTGGATGAAGACTTCATCAGTAGCCATAGTCTACGTCACCGCCATCATCATCATGGTCTGTGGTCTACCCACTGCTCGATACAGACTTTGCCCACACAGCTGAATGACGTCACAATCACCGTGAGCCACGGTCTCTCCGCTGCTGGATGATGACCTCACCATCGCCAGGGCACGGCTTACTTATCCGCATGTCAGACGAACGCGAAAGGGAGCAAGCAAACAGAACGGACAGAACAGACGCGGTGAGAGCGAAGGATTATTATTATTACATCAATTAGTGCCCCGGCTGACGGGGGGGGGGTCAATGTCCCTCGTCTTGAGCAAAGGACGAACGCGCCATCTGGCGGTCTTCATCGGGAGGTGCCGGGGGGCCTTAAGCGCGTTACGAAATCCAACCGGACGTTGGCCACCCGTCAACAGTGGCAGCGGAGCGCCGCTTTGGATTTCGCAGCGCGGTTGGGCGCGCAGTGGCGTCAGCGCTGCGGATGTAGCGATATCCTGCTGCTGCTGCTGATGATGCCGGTAGCGGTGGGAGGAGGATATCGAGGAAGAGGTTGGCTGCCGTGACGCGTTAATCCGTGTCTCCCCACTCCGCACCACCATCAACCACCAGCACCACGGCATCTACCACGACCACCAGCGGTCACCAACGTCGTGAGCCCGTCCCATCATGAGGCAAAGCGACAGATCGTGATGGTGCCCTCGGCAGTGAACCCGGCATGGCCGTCACTCTGTCGCGCTGCCCAGACCCGTGCGGGATCTTCTGCGTGCTGCTCACATACGCGTGCGTGGGATATGCCGAGTACGCGTGTCTCGCAGCCGTGATACTGCCTGGCTACTCTGGCAGGTAGGTGACGGGTGACAGGTCGACTGACCCCCCCACCCCACCCCCCCCAGGAGTGTGTCCGTGGTCACTGTGTGGCATTTGGCCCGGAGCTCACCGGTCGGGGGCTGAGCTCCGGAAAATACTTGCTTGTGTTCATCACGTAACTAAATTAACGATGAGATCAATTGAGTTGGAACGCGCCCGGATATTGGCCGTGTATCTCGGGGAAGCTAAGCAGGCGTCGAGGCTGGCTCTCCGTACTTGGATGGGAGGCTGCCTGCCTGGTGTGTCGTGATGTAAACTTGCGCTTGACAGCTGGAGTTGTCGCAACAAGAGGGTTGACAGAGGTGGCGAACCACACGACTGGCTGACACCAAGGCCGTAGCCATGGAGTCAACATTGGGGGGGACCAAATCTTCCAGGGGGTCTGGGGTCCCCCCCCCCCCCCAGAAAAAAAAAATCTAAATTTTAAAACTAATTTCCTGCCTAAAATATAAAAAAATTCACTAACACATGGGATAGACTTTTTATTATTTTTTTACAATAATGTCTAATAGTGTATTGTATTTACATTGCTCTGTTTGTTCTTTTTTTACCTTTTCTTGTTTCATTGTATGTAATGGCAGAGATTAGGGATTAATAAAGTACAACCATAACCACAATAATATAAACACATCTATGCATTGTTAGATGAAGACAAGTCCAGATATTGTGGCCGAGGTTTAGCAAATTGTTGTTTTTATTTACATAGCGTAGCAATGATTATTTTAAAATATTTTTGATAGCAATATATTGGGGGCGGGGGGGGGGCATTTTGAGCATATTTGAATATTGGGGAGGGGATGTGTGTCCCCCCCAATATATATTATAATTACGGCCTTGGCTGACACCCACCCCCAACACGACCTACCCCGTATTCTACACTCTGCTGCGCCAGTCCGCGTGTGCCGTGGGAACTTCGTCATCTTCAATGTGCCATGGGCAATCCACCGCTGGACAGAACCCTCCGAAATCCATCGCCTGTGTCACGGATGTGCGATGCAACAGGCGCAGTAAGCATGCGAACTCTGGGACAACTTTAGTTGCATGTTTACCGTGATCCGTCTTCCTAGTAGACGTGCCAAAGTTGGGGCATCGCCTGCTCTAGCTGTCTCTGCGTGTCTGTGTGTACGCGTTCGTGCGCCTCCGTCTTGGCTTGCCATTCTGCGCCGGTTTTAAACATTCAGGCTATGTCTGTCCACGATCCAGCCTGGGATTAACCAGCCCGGATTGTGTGAGCCACTCACAGATCCCTAAAACGGTCTGGACACAGTTCCATTGGTGGACTCCTCCGGCAGGCGAGGCTGCGTTGGCTGGATCGTGTAGCCCGCATGCCCAGCCACCGCATGCCCAGCCACCGCATGCCCGGCCACCGCATGCCCGGCCACCGCATGCCCGGCCACCGCATGCCCGGCCACCGCATGCCCGGCCACCGCATGCCCGGCCACCGCATGCCCGGCCACCGCATGCCCGGCCACCGCATGCCCGGCCACCGCATGCCCGGCCACCGCATGCCCGGCCACCGCATGCCCATCCACCGCATGCCCGGCCACCGCATGCCCGGCCACCGCATGCCCGGCCACCGCATGCCCGGCCACCGCATGCCCATCCACCGCATGCCCAGCCACCGCATGCCCAGCCACCGCATGCCCAGCCACCGCATGCCCAGCCACCGCTTGCCCGGCCACCGCATGCCCAGCCACCGCTTGCCCAGCCACCGCATGCCCAGCCACCCCATGCCCAGCCACCGCATGCCCAGCCACCGCATGCCCAGCCACCGCATGCCCCAGGCGCCTGCCTTGGCTCCTCCCACCCTCAACCAGTATATATAAAAGGACTGTTTTCTTGGAATTTCTCTCACTTGATGCAGCAATCGTGCTGTGACGGTTCCACCTGAAGACGGAAGCTTGTGTTGCCTCTGAAACGTCGTGATTTTTATTAAATTTTTTATTTCACTTTTATTAATTTTAATTTTTTACGTACGTGACTTTACCGAAAAAACCTAAGACTATGAGCAGCGACAGTTCATGTTTGGTGGGGGCCTCGGGGACTGTTACATTGTTGGAGGGCCCTCTTTGTGGCTTAAATGCCTACACTTGATTGCCCACCACCCATGCACGATGCCATCGCTATTCACCTTGGTTATTTCAGTTCCAGTGTTTACTTGTGAAAAATGAAATGTAAAGCTAAAGCAGAGATAAAATGATCCAAACTCTTTAATTTCCACACAGTGATGCTCTGGCTTTAATTGCCAAATTACCTATAGGGTTAATCGTATATTATTAGACTATATCACATTACCATAGTTTTATTCTTCATATGGCTGATGTTGTTGAAGAGCACCAACTACATTGAAGTGGTTGAGCCAGATGATTGCGTCCCAAGTAGTGGAGTGGTGTGCCGCTGTGGTGATGCCTCCTCATCCAGTATTTGTGAATCCGGCCATTGAGTCTGTTATACGTTCCGTGGTTCTGTTCAGGGTGACCACAGCCGCCGCACACTGCCAGAGAATTGACTTTTCCATTCGTGCAACATCATCAAGCGTCCACATCTGCTGCTGCTGCCATGGTTTGTGTGCGGATGCGGTTTTATGGTCGTGGCCATAAACTTCACAGAAGATCAAAGCCAGTGATCTCCTGCGTCCGGTCTTTCACGAGACGTTCGTGGTATCTTGTGAACTCATTTCGCCTTGCAAAGCATCATCAGGGTTGAAGTTGCATTGTTGTAGGCTGTTGTATACTAACCCTTCTTCCATAATTGAGATTAATAATATTTGATGATTTTTATATATTATCTTTTTACTTGTTTTTTTAATGAGTGAAACACACCAAGCGCAGCAAACTGCAAAACACCAGGTGTTGTTAAGTAATGAACCGGAGGAGGGCTAGGATGGCAGAATTTACAACGTTGCTTCAAGGGAAGATAAGGCCTGATGAACGGGCACATGTCACCCGTGCAGGCGGCAGAGACAGTGGGAGTGTCAGCCAGACATAGTTAAGGCAAAAGCCCAATCATCCTGCATGGTTTTAAAGTAACGTCAAAATTCGAAATTCAACAACAGAGTAGGCTAAATTATCGATCCTCGCGCTCGCTCAAATTGGAGACCAGGCTGCGAGCTACATCAATGAACCATTGCCCATTTGCTAATCCAATACTGAATGTTAATATTACTGAAGTCAAAACGAATTCTATGACCTCAGCACATAGGCAAATAATAGGGCAGTGTCGACTCAAAGGCAATGGAAGAAACAGAGGCGCCTTTGTCTAAATCACAACCACAGAAAGCCAGGAATCATCACTGATTGTGTGTTCAGGAATTCCGAGCTAGTTAGAACACGTGCACAGGGGGGGAGCTGATGTAAACAACCCTGCGCGTCTGGATGTGAGGGGGCCTTGGACCTGGAATCAAGAATAAACACTCCCAGAGCAGAAGGTGGACAGGGGGAGAGGTGATTTAAAAGAGGGTTGTATATCTCTCAAGGCACAAGACCCAGCTGAACAACACGGCTGCGGGGGTCACCAGAAGTTCGCATTCGCCTAGTTAAGACAAAAAGCTCAATTATTCTGTATTGCTATTAAAGTAACGTTAAAGTCGGAATTTAACAACAGAGTAGGCTAAAGTTATTGATATTCACACCCACTCCAATTAAACCAGGTCACAAGTTACGCCTACTGAACCATCACCATCATTAAGTCAATATGAAATGTTATTTCCATACTTCAATACTTTCTATACAATTCGACCCGAAGCATATGACAATCAGAACCTTCCTAAGTCAAAATTGAATCGCACCCAGACAGGAGCGAATAGTCAATATAAGGTTGAAGAGGGAAGGAAATCAAGAGCACGGCGAACTGCAAACGTAAGCAAAAAGCCGGGAACAACACCAGCCCAGCAACAGCGAGTGGGGCTTCGACAGGCCATAAAGTAGAATAATAACTCCCGGGGTCAGGGGACACAAGAAGAAGCAGGCAGACAAAAACCAGAACTGACTCCAAGGTTCAACCGCCCTCACCTACTCAGGGGTGACGGAAATTAATGAGGCCTTGAATTAACGGCAGGCAACAACAACGGCGAGCAGAGATAGGGTGGGGCAAAGACTGCAGGCTATGGAATGCAACTTCGTGTCAGTAAAGCCCTGACAAACAAGTTAAGTTAAAGACATCACAATACATAATATCGCACATAACATCAATGTTAACGCTATTCACCGTAAACTATATTCCGCTTATATAACCATCCAGGCACCAAGGAATACGAATTCCTAGGATCAAGAAACTTACCCCTTAACCTAAGATATCGGAAATAAATTAATAGTAATAAGTATATGCATGAAAGACAAAAGTTAAACTTATGGAAAAGCCAGGATAACGGGATGAATCACCACCAGGTCAAATATAAATACATAATAAAAAAAAAACAATGTTAAACCCAGGGTCGGAGAGAAAGGGAGATCCCGGCCGTCTTTGTATCCCCGCAGCGCGGGATAGGAGTGTGTATACGCTCGGGGAAACCTACACTTGAGTCAAGCACCACGATGGGAAACGACAGACCTTAGGTTACATACAGAATCATAACTGTGAAATAGTAAGGGACAAATGTTAACTTAAAACTTTTAACCATTTCTTTGTGCGCCGGGTCGGAGAGAGTGTTGCCCCCCTCCAGGTTGTGCAACACGAACAAAGACGCCTATGAGACGATTTGTAACGTCTGTGTTTTGGGTTCATGAAGAAGGCCAGACAGGAGATAAATTGCACCCAGACAGAGAGACGACTTCGAGACAATTTGTAACATCTGGTTGTTTGCTCGTGGGTTTTATGGAGGGAGTTGACAACGGAATATACCGTCAGTGATGCACACAAGGACATACGGACACACACATGGACACACCTGCCTACGGACAGATCCTGACACAGCAAAAATCGGAAGCCCCGCCTTGTGGGCGGGATCCAGGGGGATTTTTCAGCATAAAGGAACGGAT